ATTTTCACTCTTTTGGTGAAGTCTTTTGATGCACATAAGTTTTTAATTTGTAGTATGTCCCAACTCTGATAGTGTAGTGGTTATGAATCGGGCTGCTAATCTCACAGTCAGCAGTTCGAAACTACCAGCTGTCCTGCAGGAGAAAGATGAGGTTTTCTGCTCCTGTAAAGATTTACAGCTTCAGAAACCCTGTACAGAGTCGTTATGAGTTGGAACCAACTCTATGGCACATAACAACAACAAATCATCTATTTTGTTTACTTTTGTTTTTATAATTTTTAAAATGTTTGATAGTCTGTGTATTCCCTGAATTAGAGCCCTTACATTTGTCCCTATTTTTTCATTGTTGACCTTTATAACTCTGGCCTTTATAAATACCTAAACTGAAATTTAGGTATTTATTCCATGCTGAGTTGGTTTTTGTATAAGGTGTGAGGTAAAGGTCTTGTTTCATTCTATTGCGTATCACTTTCCAGCTCTGCCAGCACCATCTGTTGAAGAGACTATCTACTCCCCATGCAATATACTTAGGCCCTTTGTCAAAAATCAGTTGGCTGTATGTGGATGGGTTAATTTCTGGATTCTCAGTGTTCCTGTTCTTTTGTATCATAGTTTCTCCTCTTTATTTTATGTTTTTTGCCTAGAAATTTATCATTTGAATATAGTGATTCCTGGGCTTTTTGTACACATTTTTCTGAATGGTCTTTACAGAAGTCAGAGAATGGGAAATATTTCAAGTTTTAGAAAGGAGTTTGAATTTTACTTTAAATACAAGGGAAAGCCAGTATGTTTTAAGCAGGAAAATTACATTAATCTCTTTTGCTACATGAAGAAAAATGGATTTGAGAGGAACAGGAGTAAGAAGACAGTACACTAATTAGTTGATGCGTTAAAGTCTGAGATAATTATAGTCACAAGAAGGAGTGGATTTTGAGATGGAGAGAAATAGATTTATAATAAATTTTGGAGGTTGAATTGTCAAGACTTGCTGATGAATTGCTCATGAGAAAGGTTAGCCTGAGTTTCAAAGGTAATTGGAAAAATAACAGGGAAAGTGTTTATTAGCAGCGTTTTGCCAGAAGACTTGATAGTGGGATAGTAACAGGTTTTGTTCAAGCTAAAGATAAGTGGAAATAGAAAGTATAAATTATAAAGTGGAAATTCTTGAGGGTACTAGATTCTTTAGATAGGGGCCTAGGTCAGATCAGGAAATATTGAAAGAAGTGTGGCGTTGTAGTTGGGGTGTTAATAAATGAAGGACTTCAAAATGTTTTTAGAAACATGTCCTTATCTTTGTAATTCAAGTTTTCCATAATCTTTTGAAGCCCCTTCATATGCTTAGCTAGGTTTGGGTGTCTGACAGTAACTATGGAGCATAAGGCTACTAGACAGATTGTGATGTTTGCTCTGGGAGGAGGAGGGCAAGCTGGCCTGTATGGTCTTTAATGTTAGCTTTTGAGAACACTTGTCTTGGATATTACAAAGACTCCTACATAGAATCACAAAAACATATTGCTACCAAGCATTTTGAGAACATTACTTTTTCAAAGAGAGGGCAAGAACACTGATGCCTCTCTCCTTGGATGAGTGTGCATTTGGGTGTGTGTGTGTTTGTGTTGGAGCTTCTTGTTTTTTGTTATTTCAATGGACATAATTCTGCACATTCCAAAGAACTTCTTCCCCCAGTATTTGATTTCTTTTTTGAAGATGAAAATAAGGTGAAAAGGCAGTTACTTGAATATATTGAACATTTAGTTTACATTTTTAATCAATGTTTGTATAGTTTTTATAGCTTGCAGCTTTGTTTAATTTTAGATTTTAAAGGAAGTACTACATTAATTGCAAATAGCTTTGTGGCATTAAAATCCTATTAGCATGTAAAAGTTTTTTTAAATTTGAAAGTAAATATGAATTCACAAGTCACATTTCTTATTCTATGTTCATCATAGAATTACAGAAATAAAAATAATCCTCCTTCCCAAACAAGTGTTTTTAAAGTTTAATTTTTTTTTATTTAAAAAAAAACCTACATTACCAAAAACAAAAACATACCGCAAAACCTGTATATTACGATAGGATTACCCAGTTAGACCCTGGTAAGTGCTAACTGGGACTAAAAATTTGCTTTCTTTGGGCTATAATTTTGATTTATGTGCTTATTAAATATTGATTTAGGATTATATTGAGATATTAACAAAAAGAAAATAATTGTGATAATCAATATATCAAAAGTAATAGAGTAGAAAGTTATGTATGTAAATCTCTGAAACCATACTTTGTCTTTTTGAAATGATTTTTGCATGGAATATTCCCTAGGGTAGCTCTCCAGTAATTGTTTCTGATTAGACTTTTGAAGATCTAGTGAAGAATATTTCTCTGGTACATTTTTTTCAGTATTTATAAGATAGGAAGTCTAATTAATGACAAATGATTTTTTCTTCCAGCAGTCTCCATATGTCCACATGTTCCAAACCTGCCAGTATGTGCCTTTGCGGCAGTGCGTTGTACTGGAAAAACTAATTAGAATGCATGTTTTTTTAAGAATTAAGGGGAACTATAGATTGAAATCCAGAGAATATCATCATTTAACACATAGGCAGATAAAAAGAGCAGGCACCAAAGATGGAGAAGTAATTTTAAGAAAGGCAGGAAGAGAAGATAAGAAATTCTGCAAACTCACTTAAGAAAGCCAGCCAGGTTAAGATGAGAATGTCTATTGCATTAGACCATTAGGAAGTTTATAACCTTACTGGGGCACTAGAATGTTGTGGGCAGAAACAATAGTTCAGTATGTAAAAAATGAGTAAGGATAGATGATATGAGGTTTCTCACACTCTCAAATGAGTACACTCAAAAGAGTCCTTTATTCCGCATTTTCTTCCTTCTTGTTGTTGTTGTTGTGTGCTGTGGAGTCAGTTCCGACTCATAGCGACCCTACACAGGGTTTCCGAGGGTGTAAATCTTTATGGGAGCAGACCACCTCATCTTTCTCCCGCAGAACTGCTGGTAGTTGCGAACTGCTGACCTTGTGGCTCGCAGCCCGATTTGTAACCACTATGCTACCAGAGCTCCTTAGTGTTAGTTTAATTAAAAATGTATAATTTCCTATTATTTATAGTTTCTGATTACTGAATTTTTTTTAAAGTAAGTTTTTATTGTGAATTGAGGGATAGTTTACATGGGAGAACATTGGTTTTACACTCATCGTTAATTGCAATGATTACAATCTCCTGTGTGCGTCATCATTCAACAATGTTTTCCTTTTTTTCCAGGAGGATTACACAAAAACACTTAGAAAAATATAATCGTTTAAAAAACCAAAGGGCACATTTAAAGCCTGCCTCCTGGCCACCAGTACACAGCTTTTCTCTTTCCATGAGTCTAAAGTCTTCAGCTGCTCTACCTCTCCATATCCACATCTCTGCCTCTATCTTTAGTGTTGCTGTTTCTTTGTACAGGGTCCCCCATTCCGCTCCTGCTCTTCTCCCTTGATGGTCCTAGGGTCCTCTGTGCCTGGACTGTAAAATTAACTCCTCCCCCTTTTTGTTACAAAACTTCTACTTTTACAGCTATAACAGTCTCAATTAGTCATTATAACGATTATTCATTATTGAACCATAAGAGTCTTATTCCCATCTCCTTTCACCAGACCCATCTAGATAAGATGAAAACTACTCAGTGGGGATTCTACCTTCCCTGCAAGCTCTGAAACTAAATTGCCTCTTGACAACTTGTAAGCCAGTCACTTAATGCCTTTATAGCCTTCTCCGCCCATTTTAGGTAGCCACTGTCTAAGTTGCCCATCCCTATCAACCCTGTATACAAAGGGGATAGGATTGATAGTTCATGTGAAGACTGCTTCCTTCTCAGTTAGTCTTTTGAGTTTCTACATCCATAAGTATAGGTCAAGCTCATCAAATTGTAGCAATTTACACTTGTTTCCTTTATCAATTATTTTTTAATCTTCCTCTAGTCAAAATCTGATCATCAAGCCATCGAGTCTAGGTCAAATGAGTACTATCTACAAGTTTGGGCATTCTTGTGTTTTTCCCCTCGGTTTACATCAGCTGGATCCTTCACTCTCAGCTCTAGCCCTATGATTACTGAATTTTGAAGCATTTAAGTGCTGGACTGCAAAGTCGGTTTGAATCACAATGCTGGTGGTTCACATTTACCAGTTGCTCCTCAGAATCCCCATACAGGGTCACTGTGGGTCCGAAATGATTCAGTGGCACTCAACAACAACAACATTCTTGAATTTAAAGATGTTGGATGTGAACCATTCATAGCCCATTGAAGAATTGCGAGAAACATGTCATTTTTATATTAAGGCAATAATTTATATGAAACTAAATATACACAGGTAACACCTTGGCTTTATAAAATAAATACTGATTGCGCACCATAAGGGTGGCACTTGAGTCCACCACCTGCTCCATGGGAGAAAGATGAGCCTTTCTGCTACTATAAAGATTTACAGCTTTGGAAACCCTATACAGGTTTGATGTAACTCAGGACAGACTCCATCGCACTTAATAACAACAACAAATATTTAAAGCTTTTGAACATGAAAAGTACAGCTAAATGAAGACCTCTAGTACAAATGTTAATTTCTTTATCTTTTTCTTTTTTCAAAGTCTTGGCTACTTATGATTCAGCAGACAGAACAACTTAGTAGGATAATGAAGACGCATGCAGAGGACCTAAACTCTGGACCATTACACAGGCTTACCATGATGATCAAGGACAAGCAGCAGGTGAAGAAAAGTTACATAGGCAGTCATCAGCAGATAGAGGCAGAGATGATCAAGGTTTGTCTCTTCACTCTGGAATTTTTTCCTTCATTTGTTTTTTAATCTCCTGAAATACTTTGTCCTGTTTGAATCTTTGAAGTTGCTTGTTGATCATTTCCTGGCAAGAAATAGGTTTGGTGGTGGTGGTGGTGGTGGTGGTGGTAGCATGCTGTGGAGTCGGTTCCGACTAATAGTGACCCAGCAAATGGTTTCCGAGGCAGAAAGCCTCATCTTTGTCCCACGGAATGAGTGCTAGTTTTGAACTGCTGGCCTTTAGGTTAGCAGCCTGACTTGCAACCATTATGCTACCAAAACTTAGGTGTCTCTAATAAATATTTTATTGTATTGATTATAAAACATTATGGATTACAAGATTGTCATTACTTTATGTACCCTTAAAGGAAAGAAAATGTTTTCAGTTTAACTATGATACAATGTTTTCTTATCACTTGTTGTTGTTAAGTGCTGTCAAGTCAGTTGACCAATAGCGACCCTGTATAGGGTTTCAGAAGAGCGGCTGTTGAGTTTGAATTGCCAACCTTGCGATTCAAACCACCTTTGCAGTCCAGCGTATTAACCTACAGTGCCACACCAGGACTCCTTTCTTATTACTTAGAACTTTTGTATTTTTGTTTACGAGAATAGTTTTTTAAGATTTTTTTCAAGACATAAATTTGTACCATGTGATATTATATGCATACATAAAAAAGTAATATATGAAGAATAAATCACTTAAGGCTTTCTAAGATACTTTTCTTCACATTCAGAACATTCAGAGTTTGTCCCTTCTGAGTAATGTTTTAAAACATTTCTATTCGAAATTTATAAATCTGCCAAAATTGAGAGAATAGTAAAATAAACTCCCATTTACCCATCATCTTCGCAAAGACTTTTAGTGGTGTGGACATGACAAGCTATGGACAACATTGTGAAGTATGAGTGTTCCTGAACACTTAATTGTTCTCGTAAGGAATCTGTACCTGGACCAAGAGGCAGTTGTTCGAACACAACATGGGAACACTGAATGGTTTACATTTAAGAAAGTTGTGCTACAGGGTTATATTCTTTCACCATACTTATTCAACTTTTATGCAGTGCAAATAATCTGAGAAGCTGTATTATATGAAGAAAAACGTGGCATCAGGATTGGAGGAGGACTCATTAACAATCTGCGATATGCAGATGATACAACCTTGCTTGCTGAAAGTGAAGAGGACATAAAATATTTACTAATGAAGATCAAAGACCACAGCCTTTGGTATGGAT